TGTGTGTGTGTCAATTTTAGACAGTGAAATGTTTGACAACAAATATAGGGATTGACTAAAACAATTTGTTACTATACCTTTAAAATTTATATATTTTTGAATATTTTTATAATTTTATGGCTAATTTTATAATAAAAAATTTATATATTTTTATTATTATTGTGATAATTATTTTTATCATATTTTTCAGTGTTATAACAATGATAAAAATATTTACAAAAATGATAAATGTCGGTATCGAATTTTATAGACAATTCCACAAATATAATCAATCATTCGTATTAGGATGTAAAACAATGATTAGCTAATGACTTATAGTCCATGCATGGACAAGAACATGTATTGTCGTATGGTTCTATCAATTAGTTAGTTTATTCATATTCTAAGACCCAAGAAAACCCAGTAATATAAAAGTCATAAACCTAATACATTTGACCCCCACAAAAAAAAAAAAAAATGAAGAAAAATATATACTTCCAATTTTTTATGTATTGCTGGAGAAGATTTTCAACATTGTTTCTACCTAAACCTAAGAAGGTTTATGAAAGGTCAATTTTTCCGGCAATATTTTAAAGAATAAGATAAAGTAAAAAAACTTTAAAAAATTTCCTTTTGTTTTTGCTGGGTGGCATGTCAATCATAAGCTTAAAAAATAAGTATACAGTAGATTATTTATAATATTTTAGTCTACGATGTGATTAAAAAACCGTAAAGAGCAAGTAATCCTATTTTTATTTATATAAAAGTTAATTTTTGAACTCGAATCATCGAATTATCATGGGAACTTAGGTTTTTGATATTATAATAGACAAAAAATAAAAACCAGCGATTTGTTAAACTATTATGGTGAAGTTCTTCACTTCCTGTGAGCTTTAAATTGTAATCAGGTTGCAAATTTACATATAGCCTGTTTGGTAGGAAAGAAAATGGGTGGATGAAAAAAGGGTAATTGAAAAATAGGAGGAAAAGTGATGTTTTCTTTCTTTGAGAATGCTTTAAGCATTGTGTGTAATTTATGAATTAACAAAGTAAGACCTGTCTTAAGTCCGTTTCTAAGTCGCCGGGTCAAAGTAATTAGGTAGATAATTAATTAATAAAGTAGGTGAAACTTATTAGGGAGCAAATCCAATATTTATCTTCCTTGTTCCTTGAACGTGATCAAAATTCTCATGTCAATTCCATGGTTTTTGATCTTTTTGTAATTGCATATAGTCGGGCTCATGTCAGGTTCATGTTGATACAACTCACCCACCCAACCCACTCACAGTCGCTGCAACTCCACCACCCAAACCCTCCCCATGCCAATATGATTCACCCACCTAACCCACCCACAACTGGTTCAAGTCCTCCCCACCCCCACATAACTGTAACTCTCCTAACCTACAGCTACGACAATTCCTCCCACCTCTTATCGTTGCAAATCCGCAACTTTTACAGCAACTGTAAATCTCCCGAAATTCATGTCCGAGTTGAACAATATTTTGATTTTGGTCCAATCTTTGATTCCAGTTTTGATTTCTATGTTATTTTTTTTGAGTTTGATTATGGTTTTTGACACAATGAATGTATAGTGGTAATGTGTTGGTAGATGGTGTTTGAGAAAGGTGTGCTGGACGAGCTTTGAGCTTTTGACTATTTTGTCAATGGGGTTTTGTGGTACTTGAGTTGGCTATGGAAGGGGGAGTTTATGGTGGGGTGGGGCAGTAGTGGTGGCCTTGGTGTGGGGTACGACAGTTGTGGTGGTTGAGAGAGGAGTGTGCTTGATTTTTTTTTTGAGGGGAAGGGGGTAAGTCATTGGAATTGATGGCATCACGTAGGAAATTAGAATAAAAATAGAGGACATTTTAATATTTTTTGCAAAAATCGTTAGGTATATCACATTCAGGGCAACTTTATGTAATTTACCCCAAGATATAATATCATTTCATAAGTACATGAAAAATCAAGGTTACAACTTAAAACTATAAAACTATTTCGAGTTTCACCAAAAAAAAAACTCAAATATGAATGCCCTATTGTACCCAAATTCTGATGGGCTTAGATTGACATCTGCTCAAATTGTTGATGGGCATATTTGTATTCTGGATCTGGACTGGCCTGCCGGTGCTTATTCAGGAAAATTGGCCCACTGTTTTTTTTGGAGGGCAAATGGCCCACTGGTTCACTACTTCTAAATTTATAGTAGTTCTCACAAGGGAAAATTTCACTTTGACCCCCTTAATTATAGCCTCGATTTATTGTGACCCCTTGGACTATTGAATTTTTCATATTCATCCCTCAAATACTTGAATTATTTTATTACATTGTGTAAAACACAATAGACGTTGATTTATGGGGACAATATGAAATTAATGACATAGTTGAAGGTGTAAAGTTAAAAAATGATAGTTAAGGGGATAATTTGACAAAAATAGTCATAGTTCAAAAAGTCAAAGAAAAAAGAGTCAAAGTATAATTTGTCTTTCTATTTACCTCCCTCCACACAGTTAGAAGGGTAACTTTTCGTTTTGTCAAAATAAGATGTGTGAAGCAAAAGGACAACATTGAACCTGCACGATTTNCCACACAGTTAGAAGGGTAACTTTTCGTTTTGTCAAAATAAGATGTGTGAAGCAAAAGGACAACATTGAACCTGCACGATTTTGATCGATAGGTCGATCTAAGGACAAGGCATAAACCCTCAAGTCCTATGTTCAAGTCTTGCTTGTCGCATAAATTTCAGATTTAAAACTTGGCTGATGACCACTGCTTGCACAAGAGGTTACCCTGATTTAACATATACTTTTTGAATCATTATGTGTATTCGAGAGAATTGTAATCATTAGTTCCGAAAAAACATGATTAAAAAGTTTTCCATCACTAGAAAATAAGCAAAAGTGAATTGATGGTATTGGTAGGGCCACCATATTTAAAAGAGTTCTTAAAAAATATAAGTACCTTAAAATACCAAAAAAAAAGGCCACTAAAGCCACCAAATATTTCACTTAATAATGCAAGTTACCACATGCTAATAAGTTGTAGGACCATCAAGTTAATTCACACTTGCAACCCTAAAGGAGTTGTGTCTAATGGTTTGCCTTCCAGTTGTACACACCCTTCCTTCACTTGCATGCATTCCCTTTTGTAAACATATTTGCTTGATGCCCACAAAAAGGCTCCAAAATTCAGAATAGAAATGGCCATAAGGAACCCATAATAGTAATCCAAGTGAGAATCATTCAAGTTCTTCCCAATCCAGCTCTTACCTCCATTCCTCCCTGTGATTTTATCCACCATTGTCACCAGAAAGCTATTCAAGAAGTTCCCAACCCCAATCCCGCTGGTGAAAAACGTTGTCCCGAGGCTTTGCATGTCTTCTGGGGACTGATCATAGAAGAATTCCAGCAATCCAATGGCATTAAACACATCAGCAACGCCTAACAAAACATACTGAGGCAATAACCAAAATATGGTCATGGGGATAATTTCTTTAGGTCCTATTGGTTCATGCATTCTTATGACATGCATTCTTCTGACTTCCACAGCATAAGCAATTGCAATGGCTAGGATTTGGATCGCAAATCCAATTCCTAGCCTTCGAAGCAGTGTGATTCCTCTAGGATTTTGGGTTTTCCTACGCATGAATGGCACGAAGTAGCGATCGTACAAGGGTACAGCCAGTAGCATGGAGAGTGTTACAAAGCTCCCTAGTGATGCTGCTGGAATTTGGAAGCTTGAACCAAGGTTTCGATCCAAGGTGGTGCCTTGTTTGACAAAGAGAGTGTTGATTTGTGCCCAGATGGTGTTGGGGACTAATGCAACAAGCCATATCATGGCCATCCCTAAAACAAGCTTGGCTCCTTCCACTTGAGTCACTGTGCATGGAGTCCTGGAGCCCCTTGTGTTTCCTTCTTTCACTGCAGCTTTGTCCAAGAACCTGACGACGAAATCATAAGTTGCCTATGCATCAATTCTCGTACTCGAGGGTACAATGTGAAAAACTCAATTTCAGGAGAACAAAGTGGAATCATGTTGTAGCTGAAGGGATTAATGTATAATTTTTACTCTAAGCTTTGTAATTTCTTTTTCTGATAAGTAATTATATTCTATGAGTAATTTAACGAGAAAGAGACACAATTAACATATAGTCATCACCAACCCAAAAAAATAACAAGAAATTAGGAAATGAAAAAAGAGTGGCTGTGAACCTCCCGGTGATTCTAAAAGGAAAGCATTATGTGGCCTAGAATACCAAAAAAACAACAATGGTATCTGTACTTAAGCTATGACTTTGAATCTCTTGTTTTATTCGAGAATAAGGTCACGCTATCGCTAGGTACCATATCGAAATTAATTCAGAGCTGTTGATTTTAGTAGTAATGATTTACAACCATGGATTGAAAAAAATAAGAAAACAATATAAAATAAAAAAAATTCATGTGTCATATTTTTATTGGATGAAAAGTAAAGATATAATACTGAAAAATTGGACCCTCTTGCTGATGTTGAATTCTGTACCTTATTTAGCTGTGCCACTCAGTGATGGACCCATAGCATTGTGACATCCCCTCTATACCATGAGCACCTTGACTGAAAAACACTGACCATTCATGGAGGACTACTATAATGGAACACACTGAATATTGCACATGGCAAGTATTTATGAAAGAACATGTAAGGAGGTCACCACTTTTGCCCTGATATTGGAGATTTTTCTACTTGATATATGTGCACATGAATAGGTAGGTCCACCCACACACCTGCGTCTGATCTAAGGTATCTTAAAGTTTTAAGTAGGACCATGGAATCTCTTTCATGGTCTCATTGACCATGAGTTTCATGCCCTTGGATTCCTTGCATGGCATCANCAGATATTGGAGATTTTTCTACTTGATATATGTGCACATGAATAGGTAGGTCCACCCTCACACCTGCGTCTGATCTAAGGTATCTTAAAGTTTTAAGTAGGACCATGGAATCTTTTTCATGGTCTCATTGACCATGAGTTTCATGCCCTTGGATTCCTTGCATGGCATCATTGAACATTATACGTCTTGTTAACCAGAGTTAGGGTTTTTGAGATGGTATGTTTGATAATTTGCCATCGGAACGAGAAAGGAAGCGAAAAAGTTTAAACTTTCTATGTATAAACTTTCTACGGTTCTACCTACATTACTTAAACTTTTAGATGAGTTATATTTAGCTTTATTTTTGGACTTCTTATGCTCATAACAAGTGGTATTAGAGCACTAATAGTTGGTACTTCTAGGTGAACTCTCTAAGAAGTGGCAGGGCATGCCCATGTTGGTATTAGTGATGGCTCCCTATTCTCCCCAGGCCAATTTAGTAATAGGCATGATCCTGGCCAGTGCATATGGCACCAAGGGCCACAAACTACTAAGAGTACTACAAGTAATAGTTACAATTAGTACTACTATAGTTGGAGGTAGTAATGCATACCAAGAGAAGGTTTATCTGAGTTAAAAGTAATGAAAATAAAACTCACCTGAAACTAGGAGTGTGATGGACCTGGCGTTTTCTACTATTTATGTAATGTTGCAGCTCAAACTCGTGAAGCTCAGATGGATCAGAAGGCAGCTCAAGCTTCCGATTGGCGAATGCATTGACGGCAACTTGTATCAGTTCACCGGTAGGACTCCTTGTCTTCCTAACTTTGTGCCGGTACACCGGAGTTCCGATAAAGAAGATGAATAAAGACACTAGAAGACCAACTGTTGGGATACCATACCCTAACCCCCACCCCAGGTTCTCTTGAATGTACACAAGGCCAAGTGTGGCAAGCAAGGCACCTATGAAAGAGCTGAACATCCACCAGTTAAAGAAAGAGACCTTAAGCTGCTTTTCATGGGGATTAAAATCGTCAAACTGGTCTGCACCAAAAGTGGATATATTGGGTTTTGTTCCACCAGCCCCAACAGCTATGATGTACAGAGCTGTGTAGAAAAATCCTATACGTGAAGTAGAGGCCTTGTTGCAGACTCCATTTGCACAAGTTGGCTTCATAAATTTGAGTGAAACTGCCACTGTCAGGAGCACCATACCCTGTGAGGATAGTTTCAAATTTGTCTGTTACTTTACAAATCAGGAGTATTGTAACCAAAAAAAAACAAAAAAGTTAGCAAAGCAGTAACATTTCAAAAATAATTTCGAAACAAAATAGAAGCAGAGAATAAGATTTTGATTCGAAAACACTAGCCGAAACAGGAGAATTTCAGTTTTTCATCATTGAGTTAGTTACGTTCCCGTTGTTCTGGTGGAAACAAAAAAAAAAAATTTCATCCGAGTGGACAGCCACAAAATCATGGTGTAGACGACGGTCTTGGATATGTGAACTGAAACAAAATACATCTCATTTTCAATCAATTTAAGCTTTATGAGAACGATTTCTGCACAGTTAATTTTGATTAGANCTGAGTGGACACCCACAAAATCATGGTGTAGACGACGGTCTTGGATATGTGAACTGAAACAAAATACATCTCATTTTCAATCAATTCAACCTCATTTCAATCAATTTAAGCTTTATGAGAACGATTTCTGCACAGTTAATTTTGATTAGACGTTTGAACTACTATTGAGGCCAACAAAGCATGTGGATAACCAAGTTACAGATCATTTTACATGGTGTAGAGTGGTCACTCAAGAGGTCCCACAAAAACAAAAATCGTGAATATTATTGGCGTTTGAGAGTTGGTGACATGAAATATCAGCCAAACAGATGGTGTAGTTTGATTGGAAGGTCATACAGTATCCCATAAGGGGTCATTTTGAGACTGATCTCAATGAAAGAACTTCTAGATCAGACAAAGTTCATTGCAGAGGTTGAACAATGGTTCTAGTTTGCCATATTGGTCACTGAGTAGAAGGGCATTGGTCGCACCATCACGGACTAATATCGGGCAGGGCATTATGGGTTAAATGCTTGATGGAAGAAGATGAACATCAGGTCATATGACTAGTGATTTGATAACGATGACTCAGACAACTGAAGTTGACTTAGAGATAGACTGGACAACTGAAGGTGCCGAGTCTGATACTACTTGGGCTGATACTTTTAACTATGGGTTGAAAGAAAAATCTTTCATGGAGGAATTATAACTTACCATGACGTAAATGAGAGATGAAACTGTGAAAGTCCAGAACCGTCCGATGTAAGAATCAGCTATATAGGCACCAAAGATTGGCGTCATCCACACTGCTCCTGACCAGTTGTTGACATTCCTCACAGATGAAACAGTGTCCTCGTGAAGTTGGGTGGTTAAGTAAACCACTAGATTGGAAGCTATTCCATAGAAAGCCATTCTCTCAAATGCTTCATAGCCTGTGTTTTAAACAAAATGAACTTCAATAAAAAATATCATCACAGAACTCCAAAAAGACTTCAGATTGACAATAGAAAAAACTTAGAAGGGTTTATGCATTGCTTCCATGATATAAAGGGCAGTCCAGTCCAGTGCACGTGACTCTCAACACCTTGTGGTCTGCGAATTAAGAGTAAAATGTATCCGTCGTATCCCGTATTTGGAGAGATTGTTTCGGTGACTCAAACACTTAGACACCTAGATCATGATTGAAAAACCTTGCCATTGTACCAAAGACCAATTACTTTTATGCTATAGGAGAAGAAAACGCTTGGGAAAAATGATATCTATGTATATCAGTATCATTTCAAATCAAGTTGTTTTTCTGATAGACCCCTTAGGATAAGGAAGACAGTCTATAACTCTATACTTTCAAGGACAAAACCTTGAAGACAAAAAGGTATTCAAAAAGTCTATCCTTATAATTATGAATTCCTTTGGACAGAAAATTTGAAGCAGCATTTTAATCTTCCTCCATAAAACTGTAAACCAAATAGCACATTTAAAGGTGAGAATAATATTCCTCCATAAAACTGTAAACCAAATAGCACATTTAAAGGCGAGACGAATACTCATACCAACAAGAAAGGAACAGGCCTTCCATTTGCCAGTTTTAGAGGCTAGCACTGGGTGTCCGCGAAGATCGACCGTGTTGTCTTGAGTAGAATCTTGGGCTTCCATGGAAAGACTAGAGGGTGCAGTGAAGGTGAAGGTGAAGGTGAAGGTGAAGGTGAAGGTGAAGGTGAAGGATAGAAGCAACTTGAGAAGTGGAGGTTGTGACAATAGGTATAAGTAGGCAATGCTGTTGAAAAGGCTTACCAGAGCAGCCGGTAACAAGGGCCATTTTGGTTCATCTGCTTATTGTAACAGATTTCATTCTCTGATGTGGGCGTTCACATCCACACGTAAAACACATAGTGCACTAACTTTTATTATATGGTAACAAAGTTGGAAGTAAAATACATCATGTTTAAGCTGTGATGATTCCTAGCCTTATCAGAAAGTAATTCATCCACGATGAATGAATACGCACTGATAGTCTGATACCTACAATGACAATTTTAGACACGATGCAGACATTGAATAAGCGATTTCGGTCAAGCCTTAGCGGGCTGGGATGGTAAATAGATAGATCCATTTGACTCGTCAAATAAATGGAGCAAACATGAAATTGACTAAATACGATATGAACCTGCTAAACATGACTTATATACGACTTATCCACGACAGAATCCGACTATACATAAATATGAATGAATAAGGTAAGGGTCGAGCAAATTTTAATACGACATGAGACGAACCCAATTATATATGAATATAAACGAGGAAGGTAAGGATTGAGAAAATTTTGACACAACACAAATCCGACCCATTGACAGCCCAATACCCACAATATATGTTCTTGCAGACCTCGTTTGGTTGTAACAACAAATCAACTGTTTTAGGGTATTTTGATAACCAAAGACAGGCAACACATGACCCTCCATTTACATCGTCAACAACTCCTACTACACATCCCCACCTACTCTATAGTCTATATTTTCCCTCTACAAAAAGAAACTTTCACCAAGAACCAGGTAGCCGGCCAGGTAGGCCATCTTATACACACAAGTTGTACAGAAGGGAATCTTTTTATTAAGATGGATTTTAGCTTGTTATAATGTAAAAAAAAAAACTTAATTACTAGAAAACAAAAGATGTCCATATAGATTGATCAATCTTAAATTTGTTTTGTACATGGATTTGGACAGTTCATTGCTCTTTGATCCTTCATATGAACCGTCCAAAATCCCATTCCTTTTTATGCCTGGTGCTGGATTTAGGATTACAAATTGACCCACTATAAAACTGTAGTAGCATTTCATCAAACTTGTTATAGTGCTTCCACTAATCTTTTCTTCCCTTTATAATTTCAAAATCAAATATCAAAATTTTGTTTCGATACATTATTTTGGTCACTTAGAAAACAGAAATGTTTCGATATTTTTCGGAAATATTTCTGAAATATAATGGAAAAAAATAAATAATTTAAGAATTATTTTTTAAAAATATTGGTCGAAATATACCAAAGTATTTTAAAATATCTTAAAATATTTCGAAATAATTGTACAAATGCACTAAAACATTACAAAATACCTCAAAACATTATGAAATACTTTGAAGTATTAGAATTTCAATTTCACCGATTCATTTTATTTTTCTTGAAAATAGAAGCGTTTTGGATGTTTAAATAGTATCAAAATGAAATTTTGATCCACGTCCAAAATGTCGTTGAATGGACCCCATTAGANCTGATTCATTTTATTTTCCTTGAAAATAGAAGCGTTTTGGATGTTTAAATAATATCAAAATGAAATTTTGATCCACGTCCAAAATGTCGTTGAATGGACCCCATTAGAGACAATGCCCCGATACCACTTGCGCCGCCCACATTAACTTGGTTAGCAAGAGAAATTTACTATTTGCAAGTGGACCCATCCTCTCATATAGTACAGGATTGGGTGACAGTGCTATAGAGAGATGTCCAAGGCTTGCCTGTTTTTTTTAAAATAACTGATAAAAGATATCGTTACGTAAAAAAGCGATAGTTATAATCGGTACATAAAAAACCCTTAAGCTTGGGAGGAGGACAGCCCACCCAACTCAAATGAATTGAATTAGATAACTTCATGGTTGTAACCCAGTGAGCTGAGCTGCTCTGTATTGAGCCCTCGGCTTGTGTAAAATCTTTAAGTTAAAGAGATTTAACCAAGTACCGAATATCTCTAACAAAGGCGTCAATTTTCCATGGGGGGTATCTTCATTAGAGCTCAACTTGATCACCACAAAACAGTCACTTACAACAGTAGTGTCACGCAACTCAGAAGCAGAAGCCAAAAGGCATGGTTCACGAACAGCAGCAGCTTCCGAAACCAGGCTTGAGACAGCGGGTATTCTTTTGGCGATACCATCCACGATTGCCCCATTAGAACCATGAAGAATCACCTGTTTGGTAGGCTAGAAAATGGCAATTCGTTGTGGCAGGCAGTGTGAGAAGCACGTGGATGGGTTGGTCCATAGATCAGAATGCAGGGACCAGGGCTGCACTTTTGAAATTTAAGGGCCCGAGCATTTAACATCTTGGGTTTACATTATTGAGGCAGTATGAGCATAAGACCAGCTGGGTCAGGGTCGGCTCTTGACATTTTGGGGTTTAAAGTGGCAATTAAAAAAGAGATTTTTTATTTTTAAAAATAATATTTTATTTAAATTTTATTCTTTTCTCTTTTTGAGATTTCCACGGCCCAAGTTTAAAATGATAATGCTAATAGAGAATTATAAACTTTGTGAATTTTATGGTGTATAAAAACAACAAAAAAAAACAAAGGTGGACCATCAGGAAAAAAAAAATTAGATCAGTTGCTCTTGGTTACCTATAGAGAGAAAGAGAGATAGATAAAATAAAAGTGAGAATCTGTTAGATCTTCCAAACTCTTTTACAGTGCAGAGAGAGAGAGAGAGAGAGAGAGAGGCTTAATTTCTTCAGCTAGCTAGTTGCAGTAGCCCCTGGCCAAGACATGGACAAAACAATGCCAAATTTAATTGAGGGATGCTGATGTTTTTCGAATCTTCAAATGGATCTAATTGGTTCAACTTGTCTTGTAAAAGTTAAATCAAAATGCTTTAGATTACGATTTTACTCGGTCATTTTTGGTAATACGACAATATAGTTCAAATCATTCAAATGATATGTCACCAAAACAACTCAATAATGAAGCTTTCACAATTCATACGTTGGCCCATAAGACCATATTTTTCTTATACTATTATTACGATATAAAAAGAAATGAGAAAAAAAACACAGAAATATAAAGAAGGGACTCACAGAACCACACTGTTCAAGTAATTGTTGATCGTGATGGGAGGGGGAGGATGATCTGTGAAACATTATTGGCCATATGTACGTTTTCATTATTTGCCTAGCAAACAAAAGAAAATCGAAGATACTTTGTTCCACTGTGTCCTTCTGATTAAAGATGGAAGAAAATGTATAGCCTAAAGAAATTAATGCAAAACCTTTGCATGGTAACGAGGGAAATGGCATCAGCAACAGCAACCCAACGTAACTCTCCCCATTCCATTCCAGGGCCACTCTCTATTGTAGGTCCAAAAACTAGGTTTGTTTAGTGCCCTCTCACAATACCCATATACAGATAACGATTGAAAGCCACTAGTTTTTTGGTGTCTCATTTGAATGTGAGAACACAAATCCTTTTGACATTCTCAAGGGCCATCATAAGGGATCTCTCTCTCTCTCTCTCTCTCTCTCTCTCTCTCTCTGGTTTAAGTTCTTTAAACTCATGATTACAACGAAAAAATCTTATGTAAACAATTATCGCTAATAAGATACAAGGCTTAAAATTGAATTTTATGCAGCTTGTCAAGTTTGGAAGATTAACATAATATTAGACAATATTTAGNTACAACGCAAAAATCTTATGTAAACAATTATCTGCTAATAAGATACGAGGCTTAAAATTAAATTTTATGCAGCTTGTCAAGTTTGGAAGATTAACATAATATTAGACAATATTTAGGGAGAAAAGAGAGAGGTTAAAAACTTAACCTAACTCTCATACATAACTTGTATTTATAGTTAACCTACAATAATAATAATAACACATACATCCCCTTACTATTAACAATTTACACATACTATCCTATTATTCTTAACACTCTCCCTCAAGCTGGACTATATATATCATATAATCCAAGCTTGGAACAAATAGCTGTAAGACATATACGACTCAATGTTTTGGTAAACATATCTGCAAGCTGATCTTCAGATTTCACAAATAGAGTTGTAATCTCCCCAGCTAATATCTTGTCCCGAATAAAGTGACAGTCAACTTCAATATGCTTGGTTCTCTCATGAAACATAGGATTGGCAGTGATATGGATAACTGTCTGGTTGTCATAGAACAACTGTAAAAGAAGTTGAACTGGAAACTCAATTTCCTGAAGGAAGTGTAGTAGTCAAGTCAACTCACTCGTCGTATGTCCAATTGCCTTATACTCAGCCTCAGCACTGGATCTTGCTACCACGAGTTGTTTCTTACTTTTCCATGAGACAACATTACCTCCTAGGAAAGTACAATAACCAGTGGTTGATTTCCGATCAAAAGGAGAGTCAGCCCAATCAGCATCTGAGAAACCTTTCACTCTAAGATGTCCATTAGCTCGATATAACAGTCCAAGTCCAAGAGCTCGTTTGAGATATCGCAGAATACGAGTAACTACCTCCCAATGNTCCACTCTAAGATTTCCATTAGCTCGATATAACAGTCCAAGTCCAAGAGCTCGTTTGAGATATCGCAGAATACGAGTAACTACCTCCCAATGTGGTACTCTAGGACATCCCATGAACATACACCACCAATAGGACATACCAGCATCTGTCTGCCTATGAAACACATAATGATCTGTTTGACATCGAAGAAGACCAAACTCTAAAACTGCGTCTGAAAACTTACCAAACCATGCCCTCGGTGACTGCTTTAAACCATACAAAGATTTTTTTAACCGACATACACTCTTACCATACTCCCCCTGAGCAGTAAACCCAGGTGGCTGTTTCATGTAGACCTCTTCAACCAAATCACCATGTAAGAATGCATTCTTGACATCTAACTGAAACAAGGGTCAATCAAGATTAGCAGTCAAAGAAATCAAGATACAAACAGATAAAATTTTTACAACAGGAGAAAAA